GGGGGGGGGGGGGGGGGGGGGGGGAAGTAAGAGGAGAGAAGGCAAAAACAAAAAACAATATTGTATGTTTCATATTCATATAATTAGCTATTCTTCCTTCAATGAAGTACAATCCTTATTGGAAAAGGGAGCACGATGGGTAAAAACATGCAAAGTGTGCCATTTTCCCTCTTTCCCTCTTTCCCTCCCTCTCTCTCTCTCTCTATCTCTCTTTACCCTCTTGCTGGGGTTCAAATTAATATGTTTTGTGCACTTTTTCATTCTTTTCATCATAATTCTATTGATGTTTGTTGGATTTTGAGGAATTATTCAGATTCTTTCATAATGATTTACAATTGAAAAGAGACGTGAGCCAAAGAAGCTGAGTTGTAAAGAGGCTTTAGAAAGAGACACCCAGTAATCCTTCAGCTTCTTTGCCATTTTGGCTTTTCAGCTTACTCTCCCTCTCTACCTCTCTCTCTCTCCCTCTCTTTGAAACATTTGTACGAATTGGAAAATAATTGAAATTGAATGAAAGCGAATTATATTTTTTTAAACGGACAATAGAGGAAGTGAGGGATAGAGATGGATACTGAGGGACGAGAGAGAGAGGGGTAGGAGACGGAAGGTTGCAAAAAGAAAAAAAAACTGCTGAAGTCTTGAACGCTATGATATATGATGTTACTTTAGGTCCAGTCTGCAAATATGTTCTGACATCTTCAGAGGGAACATCTCCCTTTGATATCGAAGTCGTCGACAAGTATTCTGGATCTGCTGTCATTCGTCTGAAGGTGAGATAAACAACGCTTGAATACAAAAAAAAACTTTTTATTATGATAATTAAAAATAAATGAAAAGCGAAATTAAACTTGTTGATGTCGAAAGTATGAGAATGATCACCAAAAAAAATTATTTTGTTTTATAGGATGGAATGACATTGGATTGTAAAAAGAGTGAATACAACATGAGTTTGCAAGCTGTTCGATGTGATGATGAAACAATTCGAAGCGAAAGGTAAACCTTAGGGAGAAGCTTGAGCCTGAATATTAATAATAATATATTCAAGTATTCCTCTTCATGTCAATATCAAAGATACAAACAATCATGTGCCAGAATTCGATAGCCCTTGGTATACATATACCATAGATGAAGGTATGTTTGTACAAATGAAATGAAGGGACTGCAATTATATCCATTTAAGGAAAATTGGTACAAGAGATTGCTACATTGAAAGCTGTGGATGCTGATTGTGGTGATCCATTTGGAGAAGTTTGTGAATACAAAATAACCAATGGATTCAAAAATTTCCCATTCGCCATCAACAACCAGGTTCGCGCCCTTCATTTGCATATTCACTGACAACTACTCTTTGTGCTCATTCTACACGTTGATGACGTGACGAGCGGTTGCATTCGAACAAAAAAAATAAAAAAATGCATTCAAAGAAAGGGGACTTGCGTTCTGCTCTTAATCTTTGATGCTGCTTTCACAACAAAAGAAGGAAAAAATGATAATTTTATTTGAAATTGATTTACAGGGTGTTCTCCGCAATACGCAGCCACTCAACTTCACACAAGTCAAATCTTATATTCTGACTATTGTTGCCATAGATTGTGGCATGCGATCAAGCAAGACTGTTTTAGTTACTGTCAATGTTGTTGAAGCTTGCACTGTTGGAATCAAGAACATGCCCGACAGGTAATGCCATCTATAAGCTGCGTTGTTCTTCTAAACCACATTTCATTTTCAGAGTACACTTTGTTGATGGTGCTGGACCAGCAGCCTTGATGTCTGACATCAAAATGGAAATCTGTCCAAAAGATACAAGTTGCGAAGTGGAATCTCTTGATGCAACTGTCGAGCTTCATGCTGGGCATGTAACACCAGGGTGTTCACGCGATGATCTCTACAGCAATGAAACAATTCAAAGGTTTGCATATATGCATCTGAACGATTATCTCATATTATTTTCTTTGTTATTTGCAGCTGTGGATTGAATACTGCTGCTCTTCAGCTTCTAGATTCTCAACATGATCGTGTTAACGACTTGGACCAATCGTAAGATAGATAATCGAAACAAAGCCAAATAATCTTTTTTCTTTCTCTTTCAGTGAAGGCTATAAGTTCAATGAGGACAGCACTGCCATCGTTGTGCCACAAACAACCATAAATGGTTAATTTTTTTCACTTTTCTCTGTTTGCAGAAAATTTTTTTTTCTTTTTTTTTCTGTTCAAACCACCAATTTCAGAGCTTGTCTCCGATGTTTTCTCCCTTTCATTCTCAATGAAACACGATAAAGGAACAAAGGAAGAACAAAACAATAAGCAAAGTATTTTATGTGAATCTGATGACTTCAGTAAGTTCCTTGTCGTTCAATTCTCAACTGAGCATCTTCTGCTCATTCTCTTCTATAACATGAATAGAACATGTGTATAACTGCTATTCTTCTGGCATTCAATTAACGATGCTCATTAAGATGTTCATTAAAAACAAATTTTAAAATATCACTGATTACTCAGGATGAATCTGTATCTCTCACTCTCTCTCACTCACACACACTCTCTCACCTTTTGATTTTCGAACTTCACAACCTTAACTTCCTGCCATCTCATCAATAATGAGATTTGTTTTTCTACAAAAATTAAGTTATTCAATTAATGAATGAAAAGATTATTATTATAAATGTATATGTACTTATGAATTATAGATATGAACCGACACCATTTCTCAATCTATCTTCGACATTGCAAGCTGGAAGTTCTATTGCGACGTGAGAATGGAGCAAAAGCTGAATTCAGAGCAGCTGAATGGAGATGGGCTATTCCTCAAGTATAACATTCGACTCGTTTTTCGTTATCACATATTGTATCATTGAAGGTGTGCGATAACCAATGGCACGACTATTCACTCCTCTTCAATGGAGTCGATGATGTGACATTGATAATCGACGGAGAAGTATTGAAAGTTGATGAACGTAATCCAGAAATTTTGGACGATTGGCCACTTCACAAGGCCTTGATGGACGTAAGAACAAGTTGATTCGAAGATAAAAATAGAATTTGCGGCTTTTAGAAAACTAAACTAACCATCGGCGCTTGCTGGCATGGACGTCAAAAGAAGATGGTCCAGCACTTCCGTGGTGAACTGCAATCAATTTATCTGCTCAACGGTAGAAAATTGTCATAAAAGTGGATGAAATGAAAAAAAATACAATTTAGGAGCTGTTGAAACACAAGAAGCCATTTCATGCGCTCATAAATGTCCAGAGCAATTGAGCTATGGAGTCCTTGGAAATTTGGCTGATGGCCAAGCTGCCAGTTTATCAGCTGATCATTCAGTCATTACCGTTCACACAACAACAATCGCCCAAATGACAGATTTATTGAATAAGGTACATACAGAAAGAGTTTAAAAGAGAAAAACTATGAATATTAAGATCAAATATGCAAACACAATGTCTAAGGCACTTCCTGGTCATCGTTCATACACTGTCCGCTCATCCGCCACATGCAAGGGTGGAAAGAAGGTTAGGATCACACATACATTAATATAACTTTACATACATCATTCAGATGGATCTACCAATCACCAAAGGTTACATCTTTGTTGAGAAAGCTGTTTTACCAATTCTATCCATCTCTGGAACTGCTCTTCTCACATCTGATCATCATCAGGTTAAAATGGGAAGCCCCATGATTCCTGACATCAAGATTACTGTCAGCCATACCGATTCAGGTTTCAGTCCCTTTTCCTCGAATTGTAAATAAATGAATGTTTAGAAGGAAAATTGGTTGATGTGACGGAAACTTCAAAGCTTGATTATTGTCGAGTCTATTTGAAGCCTTCACGTGACATGGATGTTGAATATTTCTCTTCACCAGCTTCTCTTATAACTAATTTACATATTGATTTTGAACATGACAAAGAGGTTTACAAATATTTTTCTGAAATTAATAAAAAACTGTCTGTTTGAAGGGAATTCTGCTGAAGGGAGAAGAATCAGTTCATGGATATTTGGATGTTCTATCAAAGGTAGGTTTCATCAAAACAAAATCCACGTGAAGCTATACGTGAGAGACGTTTGCATGAGAATAATTTACGCAAAAATAGTTTATGCGAGAAACTTTCACGTGACAATAGTTCACGTGAGACATTTTCACGTAGACTTGACGTGAATCATTTTATTTCAATTTTCAACAACACCCGGTTGTATTCAAAACATATAGACAATCGAAATGTAGCTTTTGTATTCATTTTCATATTTTGCAGGTTCACTACTTCAACACTCGTCCAGAAACTTATCACAAGCGAATCTACTCTGTTCAATGTGCAATGCAGAAAGGAGCTGTTATGAGCAATGAATTCATCGTTACTGTACGTTTATTTTTTTGTTCATTTCAAACCCTTCGTTGGACTTTCGTTGACTAGCAATTGAGCAGAAATCTATTGTTCTTCTTTAAAATAATTATATATTCATCAATATAGTATATATAGTATATACTTAACTATATAAGGAATATTCTGCGCCTATTTGTCTCATTCATTCGTCCTCTCACTCACATAGGCTTTATAGAGGAAAAGCTTCAAATTCTCAGGACAAGCAGTCTCTCTTTCAGTTTGCATTTTGCGATTTCCATTCATCTTTCTCTCATTTTCTTCAACTACTCAATGCTTTTCCTTCCCGAGTTCTTTTTTTTTCTTCCTTTCCTTCTCCCAACCCCTCCCTTCTTTGCCTTCATTTTCCTTTTCATCATGACCGTTTTCCCCCCTTCTCTATTTCCTTCTATTCTTCTTAAAACCTTCATCAGATTCAATCTTTCTCTCATCTTCTACTTTTTCTCATCCATGTGGTCACTCAGGCGGCATGAAAACTTACTTGATTTTCCGTCTCCGGCTATACATGCTTTCCATCTATTGTCTCATATGGAAAATCACCAGACTATGTCTAGCATTCTAAGAATGAGACCGAAGTTATCAGATCAAAAGAAGAAAAAAATCTTTTCCCCTTCCAATTCCTCATTGATTCGTCAATACTTTGAAGCTTCCTGCCATTGTTAGGAACATTGATATTCATAGCTTGAGCTCAGATTTCGTCTTTCACTTTCAACAACAGAAATGATGGAAAAACAGCTCTACTTCTTTACCTTTCAATCTTGTTTTCTTTTTCATTTCTTCTATCTTATTAGCTTTCTTTCTTTTTTCGTATATCTCCACAAGGCAAAATCATCCATTGACTGATGAAGCTTATCCAGATGGAAGCAAACGAAGTGATGATTTAACAAAACAATTTGCTTTCAAGACCTCATTCACCTCTCATTTGTGTTGTCTGAAGTTCTTTCACGAACGAAAAGATTCTGAACGACGACCGAAGCAATCGTTCTTTTTCATCGCCATGGCACATCTACATATCCACTCGTCTTAGCTTCTCTCTCTCTCAATTTCTCTCTATCTTTCTCTCTCCTTACCAGCCTTCTTCTCATTCTGCTCTCATTCTGTCTCATTCTCTTTCTAACTAGCTTCCTTTTACTAATGCTTCGCAGTATTCATCTTTTCGTCGTTTTCTCTTTCAACGAATAATAGATAAGTCTCAATGGACGGGCAACTTCAAGAATTTCTCAGTTGATACTCAACTTGTCATTTTGCATGTTCTTCTATTTCTTGTTTAATCCTAAACATTATGATCTTTCATTCCTTCCTTGCCTGTCATCCCTCTTCATTCAATATTCTCCCTCTATCTCATCTCTCTCTCCACCTCCTCACATTTACCTCTTTACCCATTCCTTTCAAAAACTTTTTATTTTCCAATTTTTTCTTTTTTTTTTTTTTGCTTTCTAAGACGATTGTTGTTGAAGAACATCGTCCGAATATTCATACTTTCCTATGAAATAATCTATAAGAGGTTAAGAAGAACGAAGACGAAGCAAGAAACAATTCGTTTCCTTCTTTCTCAGTTTTACAAAAAAATGAGTGAAAAAGACGTAAAAACATTCTTAATTATCCCCCCCCCTCACCCTCCAAGCCTTTTTCTCTCTCAATTTCTGAACTCTTTGTATAACTAATATGTCCTTTTACTTGTTTTTGACTTTTCATTTTTCGTGATCAAAGGGAGAAAAGGAAAAGAGATAGATTGCCTCTTAACTATAACCCTCTCTCTTTCACTCTCTCTATCTCTCTCTCTCTCTCTCTCATGTACATACACTACTCATATACATACACATGTATAGCATTAAGTGGAAAATATCCATTTATCACCGTATATGGTCTTAAATAATATTTCTTTTATTTTTTTGTTTAAATTGTTCCTTTCATTCATTCACATTGAGCAGGAACTAGAAAGCTATTCTATTGGCTCAATTTCTCTCTCTTTCTCTCTCTATTTCTCTTTCTGTAGGTTTTGGACAGAGAGTGAAGAAGAGGAAGATGTCTATTAAGAGGGAGAGAGAAAGAGAGAACGAGGGGGCTGTATATTGAGTGCTTGTATGGAAAGTTGAATTATTTGTCAAAATTCGGATATGAAATGTCGAAAACTCATTGACCTTTCACTATCCCTCACTCTCTCTATCTCTCATTTTTCTCTGTTCGAAACAAAAAAATGGCAGAGTAACAACAAATTCATTGAAGGACTAAATAGAAATTGGTTTTAAGCTCAACTTCGTTCATTGAGTTGAATCAAATTCCATTTTTTGTGTCCGTATATGGGTGTGTGTGTGTGTGTATGTGTCTTCCGTGTATGTACATGTATGTGTGTGTGTGTGTGCATGTAGATGAACTTGCGACCAATTCTGAAAAAGTAATTCTTTTTGAAAAATCATTAGAAATTCTTATTTTACAACTTAAAATCTTCTTTTTCCTATTCACCTCACTCAGTTAAAGCTGTTGAATTTGTCAGAATAAATGCAAATCACTCTCTTTGTACATGCCCTGATTAAGAATCTAATAGACCCTGAGGCAATTATATGGCTTCAACTACCGTATATAAATGTGTGAATGAAGAGAAAAACGAATAGTTTTTATATTCTACTATCGCATCTTCTTCTTCTTCCGCATTCATTTTCCATCCAATAAAGGTATGGGATTAGAGAGAGCATTCAATACGGCAGAGCAAGCTAAGAAGAGAATAAGCTTGCTGCAGCTGCTTCTTCCTCTAGCATAATCTTTAAAAACATAAACTTCCTTATGACATTTCATCCCCAACAACAAGTCTTCAATAGAAAATTCATTTTTGATAAATTCCTTTTTGGAGCTCTCCAGAAAGTGATAGCAAGTTAACAAGTCTCATCTGTCCTTCTCCTTCATCTAATTCTCTCCATTTCCCATTCTATCTCTTTCTTCCTCTCTGTTATTCCATTTATGGCATTTAAATTGGAAAATCCAAGTGCATTTTCACGTTCAGTACCCTTTTCCGTTCTGAGCTTTTCCTGAGCTTTACCTCTTTCTCCCCCAGTTTCTTCTCCCAACAAAAAAAATCTTTTTTTTTCTCTCGCCAAAGACTAACGAAGAAAGGAAATTTGGGCTTCAGGAGTTCACCAAGTTCCTTCGATCATCCTGCAAGTTACTCTTTAACTCCGATTCATTCTTTGAAGTAACGATGCTTCCAAAATTCGTTAAATATTCTCTCCTTTTCAAGAATGTTTTTCGGTTTTGATTGAATTTCTTCATTCATTTCCTAATTTCGTTCAGCTTTACCAGTGTGAAGGTCCAAAACCTTTGCAAACGAGTATGTCTCTCTCTCTCTCTCTTAAGAAAATGAAAAAATTAATCTTCTGTCTTTTATAAAGTTTGGTTGCTGAATCTTATCTCTCTCCTCGTGACATAATAGGAAAACTCGAGTGACGTAAAGATGGCATGTGCCCTCCTCATTTCTACTCCTTTCTCTCTTAACGTCATTCTGACATTTAGATTTCTCTTACTTTCTTATTAGAAAGGAGACTAACGGGAGAAATGGAGCAAAAGCCAGAGAAAGAACACTCTTCTTGTCCTCACCCCCCTCCCTCCTTCCACCCCCTTTCCTCTCTCTCTCTCTCTCTCTTTCCTAAAGATTCATCAATTATTATTCAATAAAAAAGGGAAAATGTACTTGTGGAAGGCTTTCCTCTTCAGAGCTTTGAGTAATTTATCCATAAACTTGCATCGAAAACAACACAATCTGATCTTTGAAAGATCTTCTACAACTTCATCGTCTTCGTCGTCTTCTTCATCTTTCATCGCCTTTCTGATGTTTTCCTTCAAAAATCCTTAATATCTTTCATGCAGGGCAAAAGCTGACGAAAGACAAACACATTCTTATAAGGTATGAAACTGCTTGAGGCAAGTTTCATTGCATTTCCCTCGTCCGTCTCCCTTCCCTCCCTCTTAATTGCTTTTCTCCAACTTCTCAACAATTTCCAAAATAATTTTCTTTTTGAATATACTATGTTTTTGTACTTTCTCAACCCAAGTTTTACTATTGGGATCAAAGATTTTGAACTGAAATCTCTCACTCTCTATCTGTCTCTCTGTTGTGCCATGGCATCATGTAAGCCCTTTTCTTTCAGCATTCTCTTCATTCACTCTCCTCTACTCCTCCTCCTCTCTTTCAAAGTGTTTTTGAGTTGAAAAAAAAATATTTTCAAGCATACTTAACTAAGACGAGAATAATGAATGTTGATATTCCTATGAAATCTTAAAAACTTGAATGGTTTTTGTCAAAAACCTAAGTTTGTTGGATTTTTTTCATTTTTATCTCAAATTACGTGAACGATAGGCTTATGTTTCGTTTTTCCAATTATTTTCCATTTTATATAAGAGAGAATGAGAGAGATAATCTCCTTTTCTTACATATCCTACCTTTCATTTTTCTATTTTTTTTCATTTTCAGATGACGATTGAACAACCTACATTGCCTACAACAGAAGTTCTTTCAACTGATAATTCTAATGATATGGCTAATCTCCTATCAAATTCCGCAGAAGACACTTTGGATTCATTAGATATGATTGAAAGACGATTTGAGCCAGCTTTTGACCAACTAGGAAGTAGTCGACTTCAAAATATTCTTGAAATGGATCTTCCAAGACCAAAGGCTCTAATGTCTCATCATGGATATGAAGTTGGACAAGGAGCTGTAGCAGGTAACTCATAATCCAACCTTCTCTTCATGTTTTCTCTTCGTTCAGGAGGTGCTGTTGCAGTTGTAGTTGTTGTATGTGTGGGATTCTTGCTAGTATTACTCGTTTTGGGAGTTTTGAAAATGCGCGACACTCCTGTACCAAGAAAGAGAAAAGGAAAGCGCACGGTTAGTATCTCAGAGAGAGACATCAACAGACGAAAATCGTTTTTCCAGATTCTGCCAGACGATGGCTTACACTGGGATGATAGTGGAATGAATATTACTGTAAATCCATTGGATGATATTGAAAAACAGAGATGTGGTGGTGATGATGATGAAGAAGAGTACAGCGAAGAAGACGTAAGCTCTGATGGAGAGAGGTACTAGAACACTTTAGAAACGGAAGTATATTTTGGTGTTTAGTGAATGCTCGTTCAGAGAAGAAGAAGTATCTGATGAAGAGGAATGTTCAGAGGTTAGAAATGAATGAAGATATGACAGCTTAAACGATTGGCTATTAAGGTATTGCCTCATCTTGATGGACCCCGTACCGGACTTGAATGGGATGATGAAGCTGCTTTAACTCCTAATGCTCGATCCTATCGTGTTTAGAAATAAGAAAACAGCATTACTATATATGGAGATCTTCTTTATATTTACATACCGTACATTCCTTGTCTCTCCTTCTATGATCTCATCCCAAAGAATTTTTTTTTAATTTATACTATATCCGGTATATATATATATATATATATGTATAATATATATTATTTTGTCTGTTTATGGTAGAAAATATGGTTGAATTATCTCCATTCCCTTCCTTCCCTCCCCCCTCTCTTCCACAGACTCTCCCTCACCCCTCTCTCACCCTCCTTTTACGTCTCTTTCTATGTGTGTGTACTCTATATGATTTCTACACTCTATCTCACTCTCACTCTCTCTCTCTGTCTCTCTCTCTATCTATATACTATCTCTCGTATTCTGTCTAATTTTTGTGTTTCTATCGTTACATCAATAAACATCTTCTGTTAAATATTTCTTCCTTTTTTTATACAATTTTTCTATTTTCTAAATCAAAGTGAATGTTTTTGATGAAACTGCCTTTCCAACTGCTCACCGATAACACATCGACCACTTCGAAGCTTTTTTCGCTCTTCCAACAAGCTTCTGAAAAAGAAAAAGAGATGAGCAAGGGTAGAGAATGCTATGCTATAGATGGATTTGATGAAATTGCAACTCACGGGGTTAATTTCCAAATCTTTTCCTCATTAGACTGAATACATGATTCAATTAATAGCTGATTAAACAAATCTCTCTTAAATATTCGCAAATTATGCTAATTTCATAGTAACTTGACAAACTTGGGCATGACTTCCTCCAACAGTATAAACATGTTCTCTAACAGGGTACATCTTTTCAACAGCATCATCATAATTTTCCATACAAAAATCAACAACACCCTCATAGAGGGATAAACCGACTTTCTTATAAACATCCGTCGTTGTATTACAATTACTTCTGAAATTATGTGTTCTTGAAAACATCGCTTAGATGGGGATGATGTTACTTGGTGAAGGATATCATTGATTGTCGCATCTTGTGCTCTGTGTCGAAGTCGTCTTGACGTACAAATAGAGCTCCCAGATGAGCATCGTTAAAAGGTGTTATGTGATCATTCGTATGAGATGCCATAATGGGGATTTTGGACCATCTTCAAATATGAGCTTATGAGCATATCATTGTGATAAGTGCAAAACCTGTCTTCAACATCTGTCCCTAACACTTCTAAGCGGAGAAGAAGTGAAACAGCATCATCTACATCCAAAACGGAACATCGAGCTGATGCTCGTCGTGAAACTTCTCTTAACACAACATGATCATTATTTTTTCATCCTCAAAAGCAAGAAAGGGCTTACAAATCAAAGATTTTCAGAGCAGCATCAGTGTTTTCACATTCGATACTGAAGAGAGCTTTATGCCAGTAGTTATGGGTAGCAATCAACCATCCTTTCTGAAAGGAAACAGCTTCAACTTGAAGGGAGACAAGAAATAGGAATGTTTGACTTACAACCCATTCATCCGATGTATTTTCCATGAATTCTAAGCCTTCTTCGTACCTTCCATTCATCTCCATTACATGAGATTTCGCATGAGTAGCCCAACAATCATATTTATTCAAACTTAAAGCCTAAACGATGTAAGCTTGATGTTTGACATTTGAAGTTTCATTTTTCATACCAAATCAGCTTCCAACTCAGCTTCTTTGTAATTTCCGCATTCTTCATAACCAAATGCAAGCATTCCATGCAAATAACTGTAGCAGGGTTCTGTTTTCTTCCACTTTGGTATAACATTCTTCATCGAATCTCGAATGTTTTTCGCATCACCCATAAAGAAATAAGCTTCATGTACAAACTGAAAGAAAACATAATTATCATTCAAATTACTACTTTATAACTCTTTTTGTTTCCATCAAAATATTAGAAGAGAGAGAGAGAGAGGACAATTTTCATCACAACATGCCTAGGGACTATGAAATTCCCATTAACTACATTCATACATCTCTCATTTCATCATTCTCACGTAATCAATCAATATTACGTGAATTGTCACTCCCCTCTTTTACGTCACGTACATATGACGTGCCGTGAAAACCATTTGTACTTTGGAAACGGTTAGATACGGTTGTTACGATGTGCTCCTCTTATACATTCATCTCAAACTTCAATGATTACTAACTTTTTCCTTTTTTAGTTATTTTTCCTGCAAAAAGCTCAAAAGAACAATTTCAATAAATCTGGTTAAGCGTGATTAATCGTTTCTTAAATGAAAAAAATGGAAAACAGAATGAAATGTAAGATTCTGCAAGCTCTGATGCTGTATGAATGAGTAGAAGAATGAAAGTGGTTGAGGGAGATAACGAAAGGAAATACCTTCAAAGCTAAATAATCTGTAGGATATTCTAACAGGATTTCTTCCCAGATTTGAGCTGCGGCAGCAAAATTGCTAAAGAAATTGAAAGTGAAATTTCAGGGGATGTATAAGGAGCCTACCCGTCTACCCATTGTCTCAATCCTCGAAAATGATGTTTCTCCCAGTCTGTTCCCATCTTTTTACAATCAGCCTTGGAAAAAAAGGATAAATCAGGAAGGATAGTCGGCTGTATAAGAATACTTCTAATTCCAGCATGTTCTGTTGAAGAATGGGATTGACACGTGCTGAAGTTCCGGTGCCCATCGTTTCCAATCCATATTTGAAAATTCTCGCCATAACTGAATATTCCTTCATTAATAACAAAATGGTTTTTCTCATCTGTCTCTAGATAGGTTCAGCGAATTCATTTGTATTCGTTTTTTTTTCAAAAACGAATAGGTTGTAAAGTTGACATTAACTTGTTTTTTTGAAATTGAAGGAAGAAGCTTTGAACTAACTGGATTTGGGATCAGCTTCCATCATATTGTGAAGTGTTTGAATCAAACCTCCGAGTTTATCACAATCAGTCCAAGAAATTACCTGTCGAAGTAAACCATCGTACAAACGACAACTCTCATCAGAAGGTGTTGAGAAATGGTAGCCTTCTGCTTTCCAAGCCTCAAAAGGTCATTCATTACATTGCTGTCACTTGTATGCATCTCAGTCACCTCAATGTTCCGTAAATTATCAGCGCACCATTCAGCCATTGTCTCTCTTTGATCTGCAAAACGTAGTTTTCGTTCCTTGTTGAGCAGCTTGAGAGCGTTATCTCGTTTGGCTTGTTACGAAAGAAACTGGACGAAAAAAAACGAAATCTCAGAAATTTTTTGCGATCTTTTTGTTAATTTTCGTAATTCAGGTCAATCTAGTAGATGAATCATCAGATGAGGGGCCATCTCAATTGAAATTGGATAGAATGATCAAGAATGAAATGAAAAGTTCATTCTGAACCAAAGGACTTCACTTGTTCTCATCGTTTATCATCTTGCAAACAACTTTTCACACTTTCATTTTTAGAATTTCTTCTAAATAATCTTCCTGCCAATTGAAGATTTAACTATTAACTTCAAGGGATAGTCCTTTACGCTGTAATATGAATGAAGTAAGAAGGTATAGAGAGAGAGAGAGAGGTTTAGAAAGAACGAGGTAGAGAGAGAGAGAGAGAGAGAGAGAGAGAGAGAGAGATAGAGAGAAAGGCCGCTGGTGGTGGTTGTTAGCGTGAAACATGGGCGGAGACCTGTCGTTGGCTACTTTTGATTCTTCCTTTTTCCAAGAAGCAAAGGACCATACCGAAAACAGTCTGTTATTTACCTTACATCATTTCATATTTCCTTCAATTTTTTGTTTCCGTTTCGAATTCCGGAATTCTTTCTCTGATTTTTGATGATTTCAGTTTCTCATTGACAGATAAGCTCGTAAAGGTATGTCATTCTGGACAAGAATCATCAGTCTTCTCATATTCATATTTCTATTATTTATTAATCATATTAGGTATGTTCAATCATTTTACTATTTATAACCAAAAACATCATATGCAAATCTATTATTCTGATGAAAAGCTGATTCATCGAGTTTTTAGGAAGGAGGGGGCAAGTGCGCAAGAACAAAATAATAACAAAGCAGAGAGACTCGTCGTTAATTCCTTTTGAAGTAGTCTCATTGAGACTTCTTATATGGGCAAGGACGAGTTTCAAGCTGGATGTGATGCCATGAAACCATCGAACCTCTCTTCTCTCTTCCTCCTTATGTCTCTGTTGATTAGAAAAATAGGGAGAAAAAAGGTTTAACTAGGGGGAAGATTGGCTAGTAAGATGGAGAGAGAGGATGAGTCAGATAGAGAGAAAGAGAGAAAGATAGGTAAAGGAGTGAACCATGCGAAGAACTTTATGAAAGTACTAAAAAAAGTATTTTGTTGACTAATGACGTTGACGGAAAAGGATTCGCACAGTTCGCATGCTAGAAAGGTTAACAACCACCAGACAGTCATCGTCATCTAGTGTGTAAGCTGTTGTTGGAGAAAAATTAAAATATATTTTTGAGAAAGTTGATTGAATGTACTTGAAGTTGTTCTTTCAAAGCTTATGGAAAAGTTTTTTTTTCATCTTCTTCTTCTTCTCGATGTGACCTTAAGAATTGACAAAGTGCTGCTCTTAAACTGTTACTTTCCTTTTGAAGGAACTGGTTCAAAACGTTACCTTCATGGCCCACATAATCCCAACTTGTGAGGAGGAAATACGACAAAACTATTTGTCCTCTTTTCCTTTTTGAAAAAAACAAAAATCAGAAGAATCAAAATGATGATGATGAGATGAGAGAGAAGGGATGATGATGTATGGTGTTTTCAGTGCTTCATGTACAGTTCTGGATCATCAAGCTTGCGATGAATTATGTAAGGTAATTTGAATATCATTTCCTTTTATGTTATATGCAGTTGTTCAAACTAACATATTCTATATTAGGTAGATAACTTCTGGTATGGACATTGTAGTGGATGGGATGGTACGGACTTCAGGTATGTAAATTATATAATTTGCATAATTAAATTAAGCTTTTAAGTTGTAAATGCTTTGATTATCATGCTCCATTAGATGGCAAGATGTGTCAAGGAAAACAACGACGCTGTTCACGAAAATGCCAAGCTCAGGTAAGAGGAGTATACATTGAATCAAAAGTTCAATAGATAACACAAACAGCAAGCACATGGTGAGCGTCATGATATCATGTATGAGGAAAGAGTGTTTTTCGATTCCTTTTATCATTTGAAATGATATAACTAAGCTTAAAGCGTCATAGATACATAGAAGATAGACGTAAATGGCTAATATTCAAAAAAAAAACAATAAGAAACTAGAATAGTATGGGCATTATCAGCAGATGTTGAGGAAGAAAGGACACGTGACATCGGGCTTGTTTTTCAATTCAAGCACTACGCTCATGTTCGTTCCATGGCTTTTCATCAACATCACATTTTGCAAAAACAAAAAGTTTAGAAAAGTAAAAATAAAGAGGTCTTTTTCTTTCGAAACATTAAGGCAAATAAGCTTAAATATAATATAAAAAATAAGAAAATATGTAGAAAAGCGTGATGAAGTACGTGTAGAGAGTATGTAGAGAGGATAAGGATAGGAAATGTCAAAGAAAAATGAGAGAAAGAGAGATATACGAAAAGCAGAATATGACTAAATGAGAGAGAAAGAGAGAGAGAAAAGAAAACACAACCGCTCTGTCAATCCGCATGCAAACAAACTGAGACTAACGCTGTGTGCTACGTTTCACGTGTAATTCTACGTGACTGTTTCCATGGGAATCAAGTATAGCAGTTCACGTACAATTTTCACGTGGAATGTTATGTGCTTATTATAAAAGACGATTATATGTGTTCAAATGACAAAAATGAATTTCATAATCGAGTAAGAGCTAGAAAGAGATTGAAAGTCATATAGTCATAGAGAGAGAAGAGATGAGAGGTGAGCTTTTATAGAGACGATGTTTACGGAAGAAGTAGATTATGGCAGTGGTCAAAATGATCTTTTCCTTTTATATTGGTGTTATTTATGGGCAGAATCAAACGATTTTAATATTTTGTATTCTTGGAGCTTATAGATAAGGCTGTTTGCAAATTTGATTGTAAGTGATATGACAAGCGAATTCAGCGATCAAATTCCATTTTAAAGAACAGCCAGAAGATTTATAAAAGAAAGAGAATGCTTATGAAATAGATTAGAATCTCTATTATGCTTCTTTTTTTTATTTATCAAAACTTGATTTTTGGAACTCTCTTTACCAGTTCTCAACTGTCGACGAAATATTATGAGGCCAGCCAATGAGAAGACAAATCAGCTAATGGGCTGAACACAAAGTGCACTTTGCCTTTCGAAATCGTGCGAAAGTGCAATGAGCGCATAAGGTGTCTGTGTGCAGCAATGCAAATGCAACTGAAACAGTTTTGTACGCAGAGTGTTGTTCTTAATTCATTTCCTTGAGTCAATTCGCTTATCCATTAAGAGTATGTGTGTGCGTATGTACGAATACATATATGACAACACCCAGCTGAGCGGACATCTATTCACTGTTTGTCTTTTTATGATGTTTCCTTATCACATTTGATCGTTTCTCTTTTCCGGGTTTGAAACGTGCCACCCAAAGGTTTCAGCGTCATGTAAAGTTTTATTAAAATACCGGTACTTCTCCTGTTTTTTGCACACTTCTTCTCGTCGCTACCTTTTATCTTAAAGCTTTGATTAAGCTATTAATAGTCTGAAATACAGAGGCGCCTTTGAGTCGGCGAAATGCCCAAACTGAAACCAAGTGAATGGAAAAAGTGTCCGGGACTGTCAAAGTCTTTTCATTTCATTCATAAATGAACTTCTTGTGTTATCTAAAAACGAAAATTTTTGCTGAATTTTCAAAATTCTAGGGATCGGAAGGCGGTTTCTGCTACCCACAGCGAGATGTGAATCGTACAGGTTGTGAATGTTTCAAAGCACTACCACCATTGCGGAGAAGGAGACATGTCACCTATCGACGAGTATGAACTACCGTTACTCATATGATCGTGGACAAAGTGAATTAATACTTTTAATTTCATAATTTTCATTTAATTATATGTAATGTTTGTTTGTAAATAATAAAACATGAATGACATCGATGAATTGACAATATATCGTTTGAGAGAGACACAAGAAAGGAGATGTAAAAGATGAGTTGATGAAGATGAGACAGTAGGTAAAAGAGAGAGAGTAGAGACAATGGGAGTACAAAAATGATAATGAAGATATGAATGTCACTGAAGGAACGAAAAGGCATTTTTGGCTGTTTCTTGAAGCTTAAATTATGCTAAAATAATAAAATAAAAAAAAAATACAAATAATAAGGAGAATGTAGAACAACCAGATAACGCACTATTACATCGATCTCCCAAACAACTACAGACTCGTACACGTTGTGAATCAGATCGTTCATGACGAAAAAGATCAGCTGCTGACATTTCACTGAAGAAAAGAAAAAAATAGTAATCGTTTTAAGAATTGATAATGAGATCGTTAAAAACATATTAAAAACCGGCTATACTTACATGTTTTTCGAATATTATACTTTTCGTTTCTATGCTAACTATGCGTATATGGTTAGGAAAATAATCTTAGTTAGTTGTATATTGTGTCTCATTCCCCCTTCCCAACCTCCCTCTCCTCTCAGCCTTCATAATGAGCAAAAATAAAGTTTGAGTCGTTTTTTTTCTTTTCTGTTCTTTTCATCAAAGCCGTAGGCACTTCGAGGATTGAATAGAACTATAGGCATTGAGAAAGGGGTTGTGTTTGAATAAATTAAATAATCGTTAATTATTCTTAACTATATGAGAATAACAATAACGAAAGCAAATCCTTACCGACAGATATCATAACGATCAAACATAGCTAATGTATGGTTATTGAGTCCTCGACGAGCTAACGTTAAAGCACATCCACGCATAGTCAGTCGTCGTCCAGTTGGTTGACCTTTATAATGAGAGATCATTAGTACGTCCTCATTAGCTTTATATACCAAGTATATATAAATCTTGTTGAACAGTTAAACAGATTGTCCGACATGAAGTAACATGCATATCACGAGTATTCATCGGTTCATCACATTGAGAGGAAAAGTTTTTGGGTGTCGTGAAAAACCTGTAAATGTCGAAGATGTTTTTTTTCAGTCCCTTGCCTTCTAATCTCTCTCATAGTTGGTATTTCGAAAGTGTGAAAATGATAGAGAGAGTGAGAAAGAGAGAGAATGAGTGAGTGAGAGAGAAAGAGCATAATCGTGAAAGACGTATATGTACCTGTCGAGTCCTTTATAAAAATATTCTTCATAGCCTGTAGACATACAGCTATAACAATGATTCTGTCGCAAAGAAACTGCAAAGAGGAACAGGAAATGAGAGGGAAAATAATAAAAAAACAAATTTACCTGCTTGAGTTAGACTAATAAGAAATAGAAGAAGAAAGAATCGCATGAGGATATCTTCATTATCGATAGACAATCATGTATATTCTACAATCACCTTGTTTTGCAATCAAATAATTGTTCTCAAGAGGAAACGTTAAAGAGAGACACACAGAGAGAGACTTATAGAGAGAAAGAGGTGAGAGAGCGAGAGAGGGAGAGACGTACGAAGTAATAATCTCACAACGGTAAATGATAGCAACACAGAAGCTTATTTTTGACATTTTCCCCCGGAAAAACGTGAGAACATGGTTTATTGGCAAAAAAAAATAATTTTTCTTTAGTTAATTCGCTCACACACATACAGACCCACATACATACGCATACTACATACACGTACACGTACACACACTCACACACACACACACGCACGCATAGACATACTGCTAGTCAGAATAATATGAGGAAGAGAGGTGAAAAAGCTTTTAGTAGCAAATTAAAGACAAATATCAAATGTTTTGTTAGCGTGCTTAAAGATCATATATCGTCTAATGACAACTGCTTTGATAGCCTCCGGTCGGGCTTAAAAAGGAACAAAAAACCTAAAAAAAATTAATTTGGTGAGGTTTTAAGGATGAAGCTTAATTCTCCAACACAAATGAATGACGACAGACGAGTGAAAGAAGAAGAGCGAGATGAATAAGCGTTAAGGTCTTTCATTTGCAATAATAAAAAATTTATTTTTTTGTTAAATTTTTTCATTTGAAAACGAGAAGCAGTAGCTGCATGTCTTTGACCTCTATAAAGCCAAAGCGAAAGCTGCCATTTGAATAATTTAATTTCTCAGCTTCTTCTTCTTCTTGTTCTAGGATTTCCTTCACATCCTTTAAATGCTTTAGTTATGCTAATAATTAAAAGTTAATTAAATGAATTTTTGAAAAAAAAAAAGAAAAAAACGAGAAAAGCTGAAGAAGAAGAAGAAGCTGATGATGATGATGGTGATGAAGATGTTACAAAATGACACAATGCGCGTAATATTAGAGCTATGTATCTGGTTTTATATTTACATGTACATTTTGGATAATACTAGAGCATGAAGAAGAGAGAAGAAGCTTTTCCCTCATATTATCTCTCTCTCTTTCTTTCTCTCTCTGACATCTCATAGGATATGCGCTATCTCTGTCTCTTCTCTATATCCTCTTTTTGAACTTTCCTCCATCTTCTCTCTCTCTATCTCTATCTCTCTCCCTCTCTGTGAGTGATGTCAAAGACATTGGATCCTCTTCACAAATGCTACAACGGATGCCGTTCTACATCTAATCGAGACAAATACATATTCATACGTATGTTTCATTTGATTTTCCCAAATCTCTCATTCACCTCGATTTCAAACATTTGTCCAAAATGAACCAAAAAAGGAGATGAAGAAACCAAAAAGTAAAAATAGAAAATGGAGTGCTCGTTAATGAGCTTTTAATGAAATTTCATCTAAACTATGGATAAACACCCAATAAATGACACAAAAATCAAGCTGTAATCATACCAATTAAGGAATAATCTTTCGTCTTTCTTAATAAAACACGTCCTAATTCTTGTTGCAATCTATATCTTCTTGTTCTTCTCTCTTCTCCTCTCTTTTCTTCCTCTTCTTCTTCAATAATACAAAGTAAAACAACATTTTTATAATTAAACATTCATGTCTTCTATTGATTGTCTTTAAGGTCAAAAACATTTGTTGAAATTAGCATAAAGCGGAAGATGAGAACAAGGGGGTAATAGGTTCACGTATGTTAATGCGTCACGTAAACGCCTCTACCACGTAAGCACGTCATTTCGTAATTGCAAAAGCGTTGAGAACGGTTGTTTGAAAAATAGAATCTAATTAATCAAAATAAATATTTTTCTATTTCATTTTGTATGAACAAAGCATTTGAAGATGTATGGTCTCTCTCTCTCTATCCCTATCACTCTCTCTCACTTCTTTCACATTCAAAGACTTCCAGCTTTTAACTTCTAACACGATCAGGAAATAGATGAGAGCAACTAACCATATATCATATAGCTTATCATTAGTCTCCGTATCAGAGGCAGCAAAAAAAAATGTTTTTGAAAAGTTAAAAACTGCCGAAAAACTCGCCAAACATTCTCAAATGACGATTGTGACTGCATGGAGAGAGCGAGAGCCAATGGTTGATGATAGCGACAAATAAGGCAAAAAAAAGACATTTAATTGAATAAACATCTTAAACCTAATTTTATTAAACAAGTTACAAAAAAAGGATAGAGAGAGAGAGAAAGCGATATAGACCACACATGATGGAAGGAAATATAAAGTTGGGGATGGAGAAGGAGGTGGCAGCCGAATGAAAAGATGCATGAAGAAGGAGGAGCACAACTAAAAAAGAGCAAAAGAAGCATCTGTTTTGATTGGGATTCGAAACATATGCAGCTATGCGTTGTACCCAACAAAACAGAGTCAATCACTCGACCGACCGTTTTTTTAGATGAATTAGATGGAAAAGCTAAATTAGACAAGTCCAACTCAAGTGGGAGTGTTCGTGAAGGAAGTGAGAAGCTTGTCTAATTTCTGAGCAAGAGGTGACGGCACGCATGCTAATATGTTTCTGAATTTGAACGAAGCAAAACGTAGTATTTCAACTAATAATAAAGCTTTTTCTCTCTCTTCATATGGAATGTATCCTTTTAACTTATCTCTTGTCTTGCCCCTTCTTTTCTCAATTTCTCTTGAAGAGCCGACAAATAGAGGGAGAGAGAGAGAAAATGAGAGGGAGGGTAAGCTGAAATTACAGAAACAAAGAAAGCGCAATGAAATCAAATGACACATATATGCAGAAATTTAACTAGAAGGATGCCGGAGGCAATTTGTCGGAAGTGCCAAAAGCAAGCAAAGGTACTTGACGAGACTGTTCAATTAGAGGATGAATTGAAAAAAAAGCAAATATTTCGATTAAACAAAATGTTTCAACTAAAAGTTTTTGAATGTTTTTGTGTTTGGGTCGTTAGCAAGCTGAATGAAGAACATGAGCCGCAGAGTAGAAGCGGAAAAACCATAAAAGGATCTGAGACGAGACAACCTTCCGGTTTCTTGAGATTCAGCTTGTGAATAAAAGCAGTTTTAGACTAATAGATAGTTACATCTTGTGATATTACCATTTTTGGCTTTTTAAGCAAAGTTAATGGCTGACAGACATTTCAATTCAAAATCATCTTCTAAATGCCAGAATTGTAATCAAACAAAAGCGGAAGAAGCACAAGTTTCAAAGACGAAAAAGTTGGCCACAGATGAACGAGAGGAAAGTTTGAATAGAGAGGGAGAGAGAGAGATAGAGAGAGAGAATTGGTGTGTTTCGGTTAGAGGGAAAGATTCAGACCTAACGAGCTTTGAATGATAATATTTGAATCAGCGAATGCTTTATATGGAAAGAATGGAGGGATAGAGAAGCTTCTGCGTCGTCAAAACTTTCTTCGCCTTCATCGCACGTCTGAATATCCATACATAGCGTATGAGGAATGAGTAACATGGATGCTTCTTCTTCTTCATCTCCGTCTTCCCTTCATCGCCAGCATGTCTTACTTATTTGGCCTATTAATATACACAAATAAATGTGTGAAAACATTTAAGGAAAAGCATGAGAATGCTTAATATGAGATTGAAACTTGTCATCAAGCTTGAGCTTTCAAACAAAAACTTTTTGAAGAGAAAATGAAATGAAATAATTTGAAATTTGAAGAGAAATGTCTTGTTGCTTGAAGCAAAATATTTTGAAAGAATTTGAAACCAAATGTAAATTTGATATGACAAGAAGAGATACATTAGTCCTCACAATCTGAATCTTTAAGTAATTTGGAGAACAAGACTAAGGAAATATGGTTTGAAATACAGAATGAATAAGCTTCTAAGGGGTACAGATGGCTGTAAAGCGTTAATTAGCCTTCAGATAAAGAGAGACTCGCAGAGAGAGAAAGCTCTAGGAGTGTGAAGAGTATAAGGGGTAGAGGGGGGGAGATAGAGACAGCCTATGTCCGAAATATGAAATTGAAAACGATAAGAACCTTTATGTAAGGCAAATAATATATACAAGTATCCGAAATATTTTGTTCACAATTTCCAAAATCTATGAGAAAAACGATTTTGTTTAGACAATAGCAATGATAAATCTCCAAATTTGTAGTTTTTTTTTTCCATTTCTTTCCATGAGTTTAATCGTGTGAAATAGAGTCAGTGAGAACAAAGGAATGAGAGAAAGGGAGGAGGGGGGTGGGGGTGGGGGGGGATCTGTCAAGTTTTACTAAAAAATCTTGGAAAAATCAATTAAAGTGCGCAATGTTTAATCACGTTTTTATGTAAATTCCAAAATTAAATTGTAGAAGTACTTGTGTGTGTGTGTGTGTGTGTTGGAAGGGAGGGAGGGTAGAAGGGAATGCGGTATAGTGTGCGTAACGAATAGAGAACCTCACCACAGCAAAGGTTTTCTGTTTTAAAAAGGCTGTCTAGAGATGAAAAAGCCAAAAAGCAACTATGATTAGTTCTATCAAGTTTATTGACTGACGAACAATTACTGAATTCGTATTTCATCTATACACACTCCTTGTTACAGCTTTCAACACAGACAAGGTCTTAATTAAGAGAACAAACTAGCAATCTTCAGATTTTTCTTTTTCTCTCTCTCTCTCTCTAACTCTCTCTATCTCTCTCTCTCTCTATCTCTCTTTCATTCTTTCTTTCTCATAGTTACAGAGATATGAATAATATTGTATGAGAGCATTTGATGAGATCTCTCGTAAGAACTATTTCCTCACATGCATGCCAACAGACCCACAAGAGGTGAATCTCAGCTATATTTAGAAAATAGAAAGCAGAAGAGATAGTGGGAGTGAAAAAAGGTATTCTCTTTCAAACATTCTCTCTTTCTTTCTCTCTCTTTTTCTTTTTTTGAAACTAATGGTAAGATAATACATTATATATCTACATACATATAGATAGATAGATACATGTCCATATATGGGAAGCCATATATTTTCTTATAAAACGTTTTTACAACTATTAACTTACATGATTTATGAATTAACACAGACAACCACTCCATCTTTTCAATGTTTTAAAACGAAATTTTTCTTTTCCATTTTATTTCGAATGTCATGCAAATTCACTCTGTGAACAACCGTCATTTGCATAATTGTATCCACGTGAGTTCCACGTCTCCAAACGCCAAACGATAATTATTCGTATCCATTACTGACGTACAAAGCGGTTGTTTTCACACAAATTCACATAATCCAATATTTAAATCATTATTTTATTAGTTTTTTTTAAATAATTTTTTTAATAAATTAATTACTCCATTAGGGTTGTGTGTGTGTGTGTGTGTGTCTGTGTTGTCACATTTCCATAGACTGATTACTACTCATTCATTTCCTGAAACTTTGAACTATCTCTTTTCAATTAAACTTCTCTCACCACCGTCTTCCTTTGCATTTCTCTTTGACCTGAAATTGGTCCATGATCACGTATCTCGTTAATTGCAAGCTTACTTTTCATTTTCTTTTTCATCATCTTCGTCATCGTGATCTTCATCTTCTTCTTCGTCATTCTCATCTTCTGCCTCTGCTTCTTCTTCTTCTTCTTCTTCTTCTTCATCGTCAACTTCTTCATCTTCATCGTTGGAGTGGTCATCTTTCTTTTCAACTTCTGTCACTTTTTCCGCCTCACTTTCTTCCTCTTCCTTCTGTTTTGGCTCTTTCTTCTCAACTTTTTCGATAACCTGCTCTTCACTTTCTCTCTTCTTCCTTTGCGAGTCCGCAGTTTTGGGCTTATTAACCTCTTTCTCTATAAAACACAAATTGAAAAATCAAAGAGTATAATGGAAAAACTTTTTACTGACGAACTCCTAGTTGTAGAGGACGATTTCGTAGGTAAAACTAAAATGTCCAGGTCTTTCTTCTTGCTTTCCACTTTCTGTTCAGGCTTTCTGGGCGCCTTCTTTGCTTTCTCGTCTACAACAATTATTTCAAAAACAATTCATAAGGGGGTATCGAGCAAGATTTTTGCAAACTGACCATTCTTATTCTTTTTATTGTTTTTTGAATCAATTTCAGCTATTTTCTTTTCTTTCACAACTAACTTTTTAGTTGTTTTCTTCTTAATAGAATTCTCATCAACCGCTGCAGGCCTGACAGCTACTTCCTTTTCCGGTGGATGCGATAACCGCTGTAAAACAGAATGTATATATATAAATAGGTAGAGCGAGTAAAAAACGTAGTAAAAAGTAAAATATTATAATAGAGTACCTTCGTGGACGAAGCGCGCTTTTTCTTCAATTTCTTTCTAGCTTCTGGCTCCAAGCTTCTTGATTTGCGAACAGATGAATGTATTCGGCTGATACTAATAACATTTCAAAATCTATTCAATTCAATTTACCTATTACTCCCATAATGTATTGGAATGAAAATGTTAGAAGAGGCAATATAATCCTACAAAAAGAGGAATTGTTATCATTCAGATGCAGACTCGTGACAATGGCAAGTCATTTGGTTACCTTTCCATCCTCCAACTCTTCGATGGACTTTATGCTCTTCCCACCTGTTGTGTATAATTTCTTTACTCCATATGGCAAATCGATACGTTCTGTCAGAGCGATGAATAGAACATCAAGATCATGAACTTGCTTTCGATTTATGACTACCTGAAACATTTCTCAAACTTTATGGTCATAATGTTTTGGGATAAAAAAATGTCACAGGATATTCTATATAGTAGCATTTCATCAGATATTCGATAACAAGACATAGGCTTGAAAACAATTGTAAAACTTGCTCGTATTCCTGGATGATGAACGTCTCCATTTTTAAAAACTTGAATTTTCTTCACAGCCATTGTAGAATATAAAGTAGATGAGGAGGAAGATGTTTCTGATCTTCTATTGTGGTTCATGGCTTGAAGGCTAATCAAATTACTAAATATGCAATGTGTTTGAAGTCTAATGCGATCAGCACTTTCATGCCAACAAAATATATGATCAAGGTAAAAGAAATGAAAAGAAGATGAGGAAGATGATGAAGAAGAAAACGAACGATTCGGATGACGTGGGACCAGCAGAGAGCTCACATAAAGCTATGTCCAGGTTGCTAGGGTGGAGCCAACGTGACACGTTTCACAGAGAAGTAGAGAGACGGATCGAAATTTGAAAAGATTCAGAAACAGAGAAAACAAGAAATGTATAGAGAAAGATAACATACTCAATAATCTCTGCAACTCTATCATTTACTCAACTATACATAATAAGAAAGCTGACATATGAAATGAGACAAATTATATTCAATCTGATATGATTAAAATATAGATGGAATGCAACCACTCTGTAGCGAGTAAGCCCAGAAATGAAAAGAGGTGGGTAAATGCATCAAATTCAATTAACATGAGAGTATTTCCTCCATGAGATTGATTATACATATATTCGGAAAAGTTAGGAGCTATTGAGAGCAGGCCATAAATTAATAGTAATTTCCTATTTTACAAATAGAATAAAATGCTTTTCGACGGATAGTACAAAGGAGCATAAGCTCAAAGGACAAAGGAACGCCATAAAATAATGTATTGATGAGAAGAACTTGGTTCCTTAGTTATACATTAGTCAATTCGTTAAGTGCTGGAATGAGCATGCAACAGCCGTGGTCACTTTTTAGTCCGTTATCTATTTTATGGAAGACATAGCAAATGGCAAAAAACCATCCCTCGTGACAATCGTTTCCATAGACCATGCGATTGAGAAATTTTGCAATTGAAAGCAGATTATCCAAATATCCACTTGCCATTAGCTCATAAAGATAATCAACAATGGCAAACACAACTGACTCTGTTGGTTCTTTCAAAAATGTCGTTTAGTTATGAAAAGCTCAGAAGTATACCATAAAGCAGCATTTCCTTCAGAACTTGTCGGATTTGGAATGAGTCAGATTCACCAAACAGTACCGGCTTAGCGTTTGCCATAGGTATCTAAGGTTCATGAATTATATTTCCGGGTTGTCACTGAAAACCAACATCTCTTTCAACAATTCCGCCGAACTTAGACTTCCTTATTTTGGATGAAACTAAAGGCTCTATGTTTTCTGGAAAATCGCCGGCTTATTCACAAAATTAAACTATTTTTCAACTTGGCTGTTGTTGTGGCGGACGACGAACTCGGAAGAATGAACGCATATCCATCTCGGTGTTACTGGGTCCTTTTTCGGACTTCAATCTTCCACATTGTAAACCAATCTAAGTTTGAATATAGAGCTTCAGCACTTCATACAATCCTAACTCCTCTCAAATCCTCCACAGTTGGACTCATTTGATTCATAAGCTTAATTGCTTCCTGTGTTAAAAACTACAATCGGCTATAGAAGCTTAATTAAAAAATAATTGACTGACATTCTGATCTTTGGTGGGAACTTTGAACAAAACACTTTTGCTGCTTGTATCACACCTTCCATGTCCTAGATACTTTGCGGTCTCTACGGGAGCATGAGCACTTCTCACCTAATGTTGAAGTTCCTAACACGTCATAGATAATGACCTACCATAAGCTTGAGAGTTAACGACCCAGTCACCATTTTGCAAGAATCCAGCTTTTTCTCCAACTCCGCACCCAGAACTCCAAGGAATCTGTCGACTTCTTCTCGCTAGCAAATCACTTTGCGAAATTCGAGCAAACTCAAACCCACCTTTGTAAAACGAATACCATAGTTAATGTCGCATGATACAGATTTGCGTACAGTACTCTCAAGGAAATCTTTCTCTGAACTATCTTCACCTCGGCATAGCTTATAAATCTAAGAACGAGAGTTATAACCATGATTTACAATCTCGATATCATTTTCTACCTGTGTTCCAACTTTCTTTCCAAACAAACCGGTCAGTTCGGTCTCTGATATACCCTGCAGATCTCGGCACAGCTCTAACTCTCCAAAAACTTCTACCAATTTCGCCATCATCGCATAACCAATACCAGGCAAATTCGATATCTTAACAAACGAGTAAAGATCATGGCTAAAACGACTCCAACTTTTTCTTTGGCAATGAAAGACACAACTTCGTGTTGTTGAACCCAACGAACACCGTCTGGCTTAGCATACCGTGAAGCGAGCCTGGCGATAAGGACGGTTGGTCCAATACCAACTGATGCAGAACATCCAGTGTCCTGACGAACATCAGCACGTATACTTTCAGCCAACTTTAATATATCAGAGATATGTCTCTGAAATAACCGATATATGATCTACCTATTAACTACCTACTTCTCGGCATGTTCTTGAAAAATTGATATACATCTCATCGCAAGACACGGCTTTTATTTCTTTGCAATATCTGAAATAAGGATAGAGACATTCATTAGAAACTTAATATGACAAGTACCTTGCTACGATAGTATAAATTGTCTTCGAAACTTCCCGATACTCATCGAAGCTGTATGGCAAGCATATCAGAGATGGACACAATTTCAGAGCATCGCGTACCTGCAATATAACAATATGTCTTGATTACTCACTCTAAACCAACCAGCATTCCATTCTTCAACCCTAAAGCACGCGCTGGATAACTGGATGAAGCGATTTCAGACATTCCAGGAGCATTAGCGGAACCCTTTAATATAAGAACATTTAAGGAAGAAAAACCAGACACACCTTGCTATGAGTGATAGCTACGGGCTTACCAATCAAATCTGGGCGACTTCTTAAAGCAACAGAAACAAAGAAACAATCTAAATCAACGTGGAAAAAGACGGGTTCACTAGGACTGAAACAGAAGCTGCATTATTCTTTATCAGTATTACACGTTACCCTTCATCCTCACTTTTCAAGTCAATTTCATCCAAACGCGAACACTTGAAGTCATTGTCTTCTCGTAGAACGTTAATGTAATCTTTCATCTCTTGAGCTAATGTTGAGATTAAATGAAGACGTGATCTTAAAGTTGCATAATAGATAAGTAGATCAATCATATGCATTACCTTGAATAAAACTGTTGTAGAAAGTTTGGATCACGAGCATCAAGAATAGGTTCTTCATAGTTACTTTTAGTAGAAGTATCACTCAGTGATGAATCTGGTCTCTTAAGAAAGTTAGTGATGGCTTTACTTGATGATGCTTTCTCAATGCTTCCCGAGTGGAGTATGTACTTGTGAATAGGAAGTTTGGTTCCAGCCGATATGCTAAACATATAACATGCTCCATTCAACTGGTGACAGTACCTATCCACAATCCAGCTGGGTAACAAGAATATTTCATTAACTCTAGCTTTATTCACTTTCGCTGCCGCTAGCGAAGAAGCGATAGTGTAGGTAGTTGTTCCATACTCTAGGTAGCAGTGATATTCCCCACCATGAGCTTGTATTAACTCTCTGAGCTCAAGAGCAGATGGATCTACAAGCATACATATTTCATAGTCGGTGGTGCATCCTGTTACCTGTGTGTCCATTTACGAAAATGGATATCCCTTCGAACAACTTGGAAACAGTAGATTTTGGCTTTGCAAGTACATTAACTTGATATTGCAGTTTTGTTTTCTTCAGATGCATGTAAGAACCCTATAAATGTAAGTTTACAAAATCTAATGAAATATTTTAGATAACATATCGCTCCCCCATTCCGACATCAGGGTCTTCTGAATTCATAATTGCTGCGATTTGATCACGTTTCCTTCTGAAGTCCTCGTGAGGCTTTTTTAGATCAATGGGAACCTAGATAGAATATATCTTAACAGCTCTCAATTATTACCTTCATATCAGCAGGAATGTCTGAGCTGGTTGATGTTGATGGCCCAGGTAAACTAAGATCATCCAAGTTGGTGGTTCCATAAGCCGAGGCGTCTCAAAAAGAGAAGGCTATATTCGATTAATAATGCAATCTCACCGATTTCATCAAATGAACTGTCATGAGCCTGAGAGAAGCTTGTATTCGCAAGCTCGGCTTTGAAAACTTCCCCTTCAGGTTGAACTGCAGACGCTGTCAACTGTGTTGTTGATTTCAGAGGTGTTCCAGCTGGAGTATCCACATTCTCTGTCTGCTGAAAACAAGAGTTTATTTCTTCATCTAATCAAAATCAGTTCTCACTACAACGCTCATTGTCTTCACCGGAGTTCGTACAGGTATTTGGGTAGACGTAATCACTCGAGAAGTTCTCGTGACAGATTCTAGTATTTTTTGAGATCTACGAGTAGAGGACGACGTTGCAGATGCACGGACAGGAGTTGAAGAATCATCTGGTGGTATTGGAGTAGATGTTAAAACCACTGAACATCTTGAGATAGGTCGCAGTGCTGATGGTGTGCGAGGCGTAGTGGAGGCATCAGGTGGGATCGGAGTCGAAGTTAGTATTGTTGGGGTGACGCACTGAATATGTTCGGTGAGATGATTTCGTAACATATGAACACGGTAAACCGCAACCAACCGGTCTCCGTGAAATTATCACTAAGAATAAACGGCTGAACTTTCACGTGAAAAATGCCACGTAAGTTTGACTCACGTGGACGATTTCACGTAGAGAGCAAAAGAAGTTAAAACTTGTTTACGAAAACTATTATAATCTATTACATTTGGGGGAGAAAATGTTCCAGAAGTATTTTCCGTAGCGAATGTCGTATCGAGTTCAGTGTCTGAGGAGTCCGAGGATATCTAGAAAATAGACTCTCTACGCAATCTACTGATAACGAGTTACCGTGAAAACCATTGTTTCATCGAATGAATCATCAGGAGTAGCGCGAGATGTGGTTGATACAGGTCTGTTAGTACTTTGGGTGAGTCTTGATACATTTGATGAGAATGATCTATTTAATCTCTCGTGAAAATCATTAGTTGACGCGGTGCTTTCTGAATTGAAACCTCTTCGATGATAATCTGATCAGCTAACCTAATGGTATATGAGAGAAAGAAGCTTCGAAAACATCGAAAGAATCTTCCAATTCGCTTGGGGCTCTCTGTAAGTGCTTGTCTATCTTCGAAAATGTATTTGGCTACCTCCTGGCCATCATCTTCAAACACGTCAAAGCTTTCGTTTAGTGATTTCGATGAACTTCTGTTGTATTTGTCACCCATTTGAAGCTATTCTGCTCACTCTCATCAAACTTCTGAAGACAATGAGTAATATGATTTGAACTTCATAGATGGTATGTCTGTCGGTATGTACCGTAAGAACGAAGATAAGGTAAGTGGATGTTTTATTACTTATTATCACCGGTTACATCATCAGAATCAATCCTAGATGTAATTTAACTTGTTTAATACAAGATGCAATGACATCATAAATAGGAATGGATATAGTTAATTAAGCCACGAACAGCTTTGTCCGGTCTACCGTTATGCTGGCAAGGTCGAGTAGATATGCGTTAAAGCATCGAATATAGAGGTAGAGTTAAACGAAATGAGAAAACAGCCAATTTCACCTAAACACCACAGTCTTCAAAGCATCTTCTTCGTGAACTTCAAGAACAGCTTCTGAGCCATCGTTGAATCTGTACGAAACTCCTCCATCAACAACCTAGGATGAATCGTTCAACATTTTCAGGAAGAGTAAAGAAACATACTAGATGAGCATCGTATCCCCGACTTTTTACTCGTATTCTCTCTGCAAATCCTCTTGGAGCAGTTGGTGGGAATGTTCCATTGAACACTGGGTCACGGACAGAAAAAGCCATTTCTGAAAATGTACTATGATCAAGCGATAGCTTCAGTGACTCACTTGGCAAATGAGGATCATACACAAGTTGTTGATTGAATGCTGAGCAGATGTCACTCACGGTATCTTCATCATTCGCTGGTAGTTCTACCTGAACACAATCTATTTATAGAAACAGCCCATACGACGTACTTTGCACTTTTCTTGGACAATTTTAAGAAGGTCAGTCACACATTGATCAGTAAGCTTGTTGATGTTGAAATACCAAGATGTTGAGCCAGTTCCTTAATTGGAAAGAATTTCAGATAGAGAATGAATGTCTTCTCTTACCAGTACAAATGGTCAAACCACTACTTTTCTGTTTTAACATTAGCCCATTGTTGACTTGGATTTCATAGTATGAGACACGAGAAGACAAGGATTCGCCCATGAAGACCTGGAAATGGGATCCCCTGATGAAGGCTATGAGTGAGAGATCTTTACCTCGTTTAAAGCTAAAACTGGTAAAGCTATTGTTATGTTTTCAGGATTATTGCGAACTCGTTTTACGGCTGGGGTGAGTATATCATGTGAATCCATACTGTTGTCTGCTTCTCCAGGATCTCTCGGATTATCAGACCATCTGTAAAGCAGGCAAATGACGTACATTACATTTGAACCCAAGGTGAACCTCGTGGTTGAGGGGTTTCTGTTCAATTGTTGATCGTGTAACTCAATCGAATCTTGGACGCCGTTATTCTCTCCCGTTACTGTTATTCGAATTCTCTGGCGGAATAACCAGCTGAAATTTGATTGATAAAAGAAAAGGAAGGATTTGACATATATAAAGATGAACAAACAACAAATATAAAACCAACTTGAAATCTCCTTGAAGAAGGCGTTCTAAAGCAGGTCGGAAATGTTCTTTCGGTAATTTCTTCATCAGACACATGTACCCTTCCGATCCCTGAAGAAGCCATGAACTCTAAGTGAACTCAACAAATGCTATACCTGAGGATCGGTGTTAATACCAATCACTGGTTTGTTTCTGTCCTTTATTTTTGAAGCAGCCATTAGGAAAGTTCCATCTCCACCAGCGCTCATTATGCAATCAGCCCATTGAACGGCATTTTCATTGTAATCCCATCGATAAACGACTCGAGACTCAATACCAACTCGACTGAAAGAAAATAGCTTGAGAGTATAGTATGATAATCGCTTGTTCGCCATTGACTCTTGCAAGCTACGGGATAACATACTCTAATTCGGCTTTTATAGTATCTAAATAGGTATAATGTTGTTTATGTTTTGCTACCAATCTATTGTAGTTAGATCCTCGTCTATGCAACTAAAAAAGGAAAGTTCTATGTAGGAAAACCGAAAACCTACAATAGCTTCTAGCTGAGACTCCTTCACTCCTTTGTGAACACGCTTCTCAAATTCATATCTTGTAAGTTTACTGAGAATCAGAATCTTCTTGGGTAGGAACTCGGGTTTCTGAGTGGTGATCAAACTACATACAATCGGCTCATGTGATATGCTTACTTCCATAATAGTTGATCCTGGGGTAGCTGAGCACTGTGAGATGGCCGGTGTCCGATACAAAGCTCCCGCTAGAGAACGAGGTAATCGCATACGAGATTTGATATCGCCCCACGGTAATTCAATCGCCTTTGCAGACTGAAAAAGGAAATCTGAGAAACCGTATCATTCAAAAACAGAAAGCCAACTCTATCCAGCAATTTCATTATCATCGCTATTCTATGAAAGTTTCTACTCAAGCAAATACACAAAGTTCGCTTTACGTAAATAAAAATCCGAGAAGACGAAACTAAGACGACCGAATGGGTTGGAGCGTACGTGATAAAGGTTAAACGAGTTCAAAAAAGCCACGTTGATTACGTGGAAAGTTGGAAAATCAGATGTTCGAAAATCAAAATAGACTGACGACGTCAGAGAACACACAAAGCGCATAGTCGGAATTAAAGAAACAACTGTCAAATTGCGTTTCATCTGTTGGTCTCGGAAGGAAGAAAGAGTCATTCGTAGAGAACGAGCGACCTTAACGTTGCAAGACTTGAAAGGTTAGAGAAGCTTTGAATTGAACTCAGACGTTTGTTAGTGTGCGATGAATTTAAACACTTTACCTGGCGAACGGTTTCGGATGAAATGCGGATGCGCATATCCTCATTTCAATTAACACGGATGACAATCTGATTAAGAATAATAAAAAACTGATGAGGAGCAAAAAAATTCTTGTAAAGAGAATGTTCTTCAAAAACTTGAAAGGAAGAGGAATGATAAGCTATGACTAACTACTTGTTGGATAAGGATGCTTGAGGTCGTACTGATAAAAATACAAGAGAACAAAACATATTGTCGCAAGAAAAGGTTTCAACCCAAAGGAGAACGTTCAACCTCCAGAGAGTTGAGGAGAGAAGACTGATGTAAAACGGATAGGTTATTACACTGGAATGGAGAAAAAGAAATTGTTTGAACTGAAGGCGATTCGGCGCTTTTAAGAGAGAGAGAAATGAGGAGAGAGCAGGCTGTTAGAAGCGAAGGTGAAGATTCAAGAGAAACTTGAAGCACGTGGCCTGATGTCATGACAACACATCATCGCGGCCATGCACTCTCGTTTTTTTCAAATTTTTCTATCTCTCTCTTATTTTATTCGTTTCTATTTCCAACTGTCCGCCAACAGAAGGTACATATTTGATGGTCATGAGGTTAGGATTCAGCGTGGGTATCACCAAAACACATTTTTTGCACGTTTTGTAGTTATCAATCCTCTCAATTCCCTTTCTCCGTCCCGAATCATATTTTTACTCTTTTCAACAACTATGATAATGGTCAAGTAACAAATTTCGTTTGAAACGATTCTTTCAACAACAATTGTAAAAAACAAGATAAGCACATTTATTTTTTATATTATAGAAGATATGTTTGTACACGCTTACTATCCATGAATGTGAAGATATTAATATTATGCAAACTTCTCAAAGATTATGCAAAAACGGGCACAGAAAAGAAAACCCGAGAAAAAAAACAATGAAAGATCACTTATAATTGGAGGGAGAAGATCAAAATCCTGCGAAATTAGAAAAAAACCTGTTTGTCATGGTTTGAAACCGGGAACTACATAAGTGAACTCAAAAAAGGAATGCAATGATAAAAGAAATTTAGAATATGTTATAATCTCTCTGATATATACACATTATTATGAGAATGTTTGTTATAAAGAGAGAGAGTGTCGTTGATAATTTCAAACGTAGCTTCAAACTATTCTTGAAAACACGGTCTCCTCTGGCAATTCTCCAGCTTCATGATTTTCACTCCGGTGATGAATCTTGATATGGCATTCAACAGATTTTTCGGACTTTTTGGATCAAGATCAACTATTTTCACAGAAAATGAGAAACAGAGACCTAGAATGATACTGGAAATGAAGAAAAAAATCTAAGAAAAGATACCGTTGGGTAGGCGTACGATGTTATTATAGTCTGTTGAACTTTGAATCATATGCGAAGGTACCAATCGAACAGATACCATAACCTGATTTAATAGAAACATCAAACCTCTCGAAAATAATCACGTACCGAGCAATCTTTCATCGTTGCAGCTAGAAGATAGCGTTCAATCAAAGATTTCGCATCAGTTTTATGTAGGAAGTCGTCCAATGAAGGCAATCGAGCTTTCTCCATGAAGTAATTCTGAATTACACAATCTTAGCGTAAACAAACAACTTTTTCGATTACCTTATCTTCTTGCGGTAGGTTCTTAAACAACTTATGCGCCCTAATAATTCCTATGCTATCAATTTGTTGACCAGCAAGAATCTCATCCAACACCGAATTCTTATACAAACCGAAAGAATCTACAGATGGACTTCCAGTTAGAATCAGGGCAAGCTACAAACAAAAGTTGATATTGACAATTCCAAACGATATTATAAATACCGCGGAAACTAAATCTTCGATGTTGCCATTATCATGAGGGAACAGTGCTGTTTTAATCGTGGAATCACTTGCAGGGGCTTCATTAGAGAACAACTGCAACGATATTGAATATGAAAATGATTGAAAATAAGAAAAACATACTAAATTTCCATTGACAAACAGTCGTAGATTCCTGTGAGGATTACGAAACAGTTCTCTGAAAAAAAACAAACCGTTCACCGTGTCTACATACTCAACAATAAACTTATAATATAAGCATTCGTAAACACCACGTGAAATTCACGTGGCACTCACGTCAATTTACACGTATGACTCACCTTAGAGATCTACAAACACGAAAATGCACTCCAGAAAATAAATCGAGAGGACAGAAGTCATACATTTGCGTAAAGTGATCAGAACCGCATTTTTCAATCTAGATACATGGTAAACAATCATGATGAGCAACTTATTATGGAAGAATACCTGCAGTATACAGTTGTTGCAATAAGGCAATCTTACTCCAGGATGAATTTGGAAGAAACCTTGTTTCGGCTTTATTTCAACCTATTAATAGAAACAAAATGTTTTCAATAGAGATCAAAAAACAGATACCGTTATAGTGGGGCCAATGTATGACGTGATCTGTTGGGGTATTCTTGTCGCATCAAGCATTTCCAAAGCTGTGATAGTGGAACAACCTTTTGGAACATTCGACAAAGGTAGCAGTGAGAGCTCATCTGGCAACTGTTTCAATTCTCCGAAGCTCTCGATCTTGATGTTCGAAAGAAGTGATGGAATCTGCAAAAAAACAAAAAATTATAATCATCTTCAATGATTTTGATACTTTTGCAATCTGATGAACATCAGCTACACTCATTCCGACTATTCGAGGAGCTACCAAGTAATTAGAAGAGAAGAAAGGGGTAATCATGTTTTCCATATATCTGAAATAGACAACGTCAGGCAATGTAATGTAATCCAATTTATATATTTCAGTAGAATTGAAGAAGTAATTACCTATTAACCAATTCGCTCTTTGCTTTTAACGTGATCAACCCACTCTTTCTGGCTTTCGAGAACCTCCATACTATCCTAAAACAGGAGAATTGGTGTAAGGGCAGACAATTAAGATGAGAAAGCAATCGATATGGATGAAATGGAAATCAATGTAATCCACATACCTTGTGCCGGAATCGCGGCTTTTGGCAGAAATTACTAAATTGGCTCTGCCTTCTCCACGAAAACAAAAAGATCGATATTCTCTAGGATCAACCACACAATGCATATTGCATAAGGTCATAATATCATCACTAATATCTGAAAAGTGAACATGTTTTTATGTAATAGGAATAATAAATAAAAGAAACGATCAAATACAATTCAAAAAATTTCAGTCAGACGATAAGCGCCGGCGTTTTATAAAGCAATGAAAAAGGAAAAAGGCGGAGCAAGGAAATCAACATCATCAGTTCAGCAACAATCAGACCAACGGGCGCTTGGCGCCTTGCCAAGTTCTATTTACATGGTCGTCTAAAAATGACGATAAAAAGGGAAAAAGTGGAGATCGTCATTATGGGCGAAGTCAAAAAACAGTAGAGTGAATCATATGTAGATAAATGAAACAAGCTTCTATGGCTGGAAAAAAAGCAGTTTCGACAGCTTGGCAAATAATTAGGTCGTCGCTAAAAAGTTCTCCCGTGATGTGAATCAGCTGACATTAGTTGAAGAGAAAGTATCAATTGAAAGAACAATTTGAACTGTACACAATAATATTATTAAAATGTATTTAATAAAATGCTTCTTTTAACATTATGCTGGTTAGAAGGACGGCACAGCACCAAGTTCATCACAGAAATGAGAGTAGGCAAGAAGTTACTTTGTACATGAAATGAAAGAAAAATGAGTAAATGGTCGATTCGATGTTAGTTTTCTTCTGATCGTTGTTGTTATCAAATATGGAGATTCTAGAGCTAGTCGGATGAACAAACACATGCTTATGTAACAAATAACGCACAAAAAAATAATTAAAATGTCAACTATGTCAACCAGAAGAACTTTTATTCTCTGCTGCTCTTCGAGTTATGTCCGAGATCACGTTGTCGACAGTTTCGTTCATGGGATTGTCAAACTCTTCATTGAACTCATCACGCATCGTGTGAACTCGGAATCTATGAACAGATATTCATCAAAAGGCTCAGTCTTGTTGTGACTTACAACGTTACAATGTCTGCATGCTTTCCTTCTATGGCAATGTCCAGAGGCGTCACTCCATCAGCATTTTTCAAATCTTTGTCGGCGCCACGTTTCAAAAGTTGGCAAACTTGCCTAGAAACATTGAGCTAAAGGGAATGAAAAAACTATCGCATTTTACAAAGTATTTCCTTCTAAGGCAGCCAAGTGCATTGGCGAATTGAGTCGTTCATCCAGAATATTAATTTTGGCTCCGTTCAGCAACAAGAACTCAACAGCCGCAGTTTGACCCTAAGAGAGAAAACGAGAGTTTATGAGAAAGAAGTGGACATACATTTTGGGTTGCCATATGTAGAAGGGTAGTTCCATTTTGGACAGTATTCAAATCGAATTTGCTTGCGATAGCTCGGAGAAGCACAACGATATCACCAGAACGGGCTGCTTCAGCAATCAGTTTCCAGGAAACAGCTTCTCCTATCATAGAAATGATGACGGATTATTCTAGAAATGAATAAACCTTGATCCTCTGCTATATTTTGTTCAGATCCGCATGATGATAATCTCTTCTTATCATCTTTCAATATTTTTATTAAAAGATAACAATGCTATGAACAAACCACTAAAACCTGCAGCACACGCGATTTCAGCTTCTTTGACATCCGCATATGATGTGGATCTATTTCCTGAATAAGCATTACTACTTCTAATCGTATGACTAGGTAATTTCTCACCTATACTTGTCTTTTGCTTCGCTTGAAGGTTGTCGTGTCTCGCTACAGCAATTCCTCGCGCACGATCGGATGAAGAGATGGAAAACCTACGTTCAACGTATTTGGCTTTGATCCATGCTTCTCGAACCTATATTAGAATTCAGCAAATAATGAACTGATGATGAAGCTACCTGACGATTGCATGTCTCAGTAGCTTCCGGAGGAACTACGTTAGACTGCGGTAAATGAGCGAGATAAATGGAGTTTACCTGCAGCAAGAGGAAACGTATGTATGTTTGTTTTGAAAAACCCACGAGCTTATTCCCTAAACTAAGCAAGACATCTCTCAGCTCCGTATCTATGGAATCCATTGTGAGAGATCGAACTTTAGTCACTTGAACACCAAGACTTCTATGAACTCCAGAGCATTCAATGCATAAAACCACCTGAAGGTCGGATTTTTGAACATCTACATCGAAAGGGATCCAAAAGACTCACACCCAAGTTAATGCTGACCCATTTTGGTTGTTCACTCCCACAATCCGCACAACTCTCGTTGCCAGGTACACGTCTGAACTCTCCACTTTGAAAACATTCTTCCCACTTGAAACTACCTGATTTGCTCAAAAGTTGTGCTGTTCTCGTTTGGTAGAACTTTGGAACCTTTGGGGATTATTGTTGTTTCGCTGTTTGACGAACTTGGTTTCGTGTTCTAAAAACAGAGAATACAATAGTGAAAGTAAAGGGCGTCATTACTACCTCATCGTCACACTCATGCAAAGCCAAAATTGTTCTTTGGAGAGCTCGCATCCAATTATTACAAAGCGACTCAGTATCTGCTTGCAATAAATGGCTTCTTAAGCATCATTGATAACATCAAAAAAACGAATTAATGAATTGCCTGGTGGGGGTTACGAGTTCAAAGCAACCAGCACGATCGATTGATGGAGGGGCAGGACGAACAAGACAGAGTTTGAGATTTTCTTCCATTATGGTGGGCTCTTCATAATCATTGGAACGATGGGAATACAACTGTGGAAGAGATGATGTTCAAAGGTGGAAGAATGATGCAAGATACCAATTTATTATCTCTGATTTGAAACCATCGACGATTCCATGTTTTGAAGGCGTTGGATGATCGTTTTAGAAGGTAACCTTCCATCATGACGTCCGGGTCAGGAGGCATCCCAGAAGGATGCTGGAACATTTCCTAAATTACAAACTTTAGTTGCTTTCTAAAAACAATGTGAAACAGAAAAAATACAAAAACATCAAACTGACATATGGGAATTCCTTCAACAGGATAGGTTCAGAAATTTCTGGAGGGACATAGAACTTGGAAAGCTTTTTAGGGAATGGTTTTCGTTTTTTCTTTGTGGACTTCTTATTCTCATATTTAGCGAGTTCATAAGAAGAAGACAGAGAGTTACATCTTGGAATATGCAGAGGCTTACAATCACTAGATGGTTCGCACAGCATTGATGTACATGAAATCTTTTTGAGTTCAAGATTAGGATGGCCAGATGTAGGGAGAAGCAGAGAGGATCTTCCCGTAATCTCAGACACTTCAACATCCGAATACTTGTAGATGATTGAATTGGTGGTAGTGTTTGACGAACTATGTTTCACTTCGAAAGTCGTTTTCATGGCTTCACGGCTCCTTTTTTGGGGACAGGAATATCTGATATTTTTTCAGAAGGTGATAAAGGAGCAGAGAAGAGACAGCAGAGTGTTGATGTCAATCGATTGTTCGATAGCAAAAATACTAAGCCTCAGCCATTGCATGTTGTGAATCATCAGAAACAGCAGTTTCCTAACTTTCACAGAATTCAAAACATGTCTATTATGGTAAATTAAATGTAATCCTCCTTCTGCATGAGCAAAACGGAGGATTAGGTTATACGTAATGGATACAACAAGTGAAAAGAGAAGAGTGAGAGAAAGATGGATGGAAAGATGTTAGAAAAGGTCTGGTCACGTAATGTTTGCTCTTTCTATTTACATACCTTTGGAACTAGGGAGTGAATGTCCTGCATTTTTCGCTCTGTGTGTTTGCATTTTTCTGATAAAGTTGCTGAAGTAATCATTCATTAATGATCATGATGAATAAACTTTGTAAACCTATCGTTTCAGCCACACTTCCATTATCAGCTGCTGTCCATTCATCGAAGACAGCATGGCCGCGCGAGAAAAAAGAGGAGGTCTCCTTCACAAACGACCACAACTGCAAATATAGAGATATGGAGGTACGTCATCGTTAAGCTTGTAGGCGAACGAAAAAGATCACTTACTGCATCTATGATCATATAATCCTTCTTTGCGTGAGCCACATTAATCTGAGCTACATAATCGAGGGTTGTATGAGCGAAGCAAGCTCCAATCTGAAGGTAACACCTTTTATTACTCCAAAAAGTCTTGTAAGTTTACAGCTGTAAGAGCATTGCGACCTTCTGCAGCATCGTTCGGCTTCTGGCGAGAGATGGACGAATTCCTAGCCAAGGCCTCATCCATACTGCTGGACATTGTGTCGAAGTGTGCTCGAGCAGTCGAGACTTTTGTTAATTCTCTGAAGTACTTCAGAAGGTTTGGAAGAGTGGCTATGAACTGACTGTTTAAGGAAAGAAGCTAATTTTTCATAAACTAGTAAGTTAGTTTGTTCATAATAGGATTTTGAAAGACTTAAGGTTTGCCCGAATGCTTCCGACAGAGATTGGAAAGTTGGTTGAGAGAGAGCATTACCACTGAAGCTCTCATCACATAACTGATTAACAGAAACCGTAAATTTACTTAAAAACTCCTTATTAAGAGATGATCAGCAGTTTTAGAACTTACTATAACGTTGCAATGTAATTCTTACTATATTCCATCATTGCAGTCACATGTTTAAGAATCTAAAGAAGATAAAAAGTAAATGTGAAGAAGGGGAAGAGTAGTCACGTGCCTCATTCAAACGATTTTCTAATTTGTTGAAATACTGAGTGTGTTGTGAGATTGAAGCCCGAAATCTAGGAGAATCCTGAAATGATTGCCATAAAAGGTGGTTAAGAGGATTTTATCTTACCTTCATCGCTTCTGTATATACGATTGGATAAGGCATGGAGGAATGTATCGCCACAGAAGCCGTCATCTGGGCTATAATCTTAGACATGAACATATGTATATGAGACATCATATGTATGAGAAATGGAAACAACAGAAATCGATACATGTGAATGTTTTGAACAATCTATTTTGATGAAATTCTCATCAAACAGTACAAGTGATATGAAATAACTGTGACTCAAATAAACAATATCCCGATCAGTCAAAACAAGTCTAAAGGTCTTGTTCATTATTTTTTAAAGCTTTGAAATTGAAAAAGAAATAGCTAGTTTGAAAGGAGAAGAGGTGAATAGCCGAAAGTAGAAAAGGGGAAACAGAGCTAGTTGGATCATACGGGGGCAGTGGCGGTCAGGGAGTGTCCTAATGTCTGAACAGACAGACAGACAGAGCGACACAGAAATTTGTGAGAAAGAGAGAGAACGAGATAAAAACGAAAAGAACATTCAATCAAGAACTTTCTCAAGATGATCCGTTTTGACTCAAAATGAATTTTCTTTTCACGCGTTTTATTCCTTCACTCCCAGCTGCAACTAATAATCAATATAGTGTAAGCATAGGAAAGAAGCTACCGAATCTAATTGTCTGTTGGCGAGAAATGGAAATGTCGTTCTCATGAGAGAGAGAGTGGAAGAGAGGAAAAAAACAAACCGAAAAATGTTCTTTTCAGCTTTTCGCAAGTTTTTGGAGTTTCCAATGAGAATCAAGAATAATCTCATGAAGTGTACGACAAAAATGTTGACAACATTCAATAACACGTGGTCTGCTGGTTTGATGAGGAAAACAAACCTGAGCTTAGAACACGGGCGACATATAGGATTTGGAAGTTTCTTAGAGGATTATCCCTGTCTTCATCAAAATTTCACAACATGACTCACGCTAGAACAGACCAAAACAAAACAATCTTAAGTTTACGCAACATATCTACGTTGCAAAGGGCAGATCAAGAACGTTATTGTGTCTAACCTCATTCATAAGGTAGGGAAGACGAGGAGAAGAAACGTTTTGTGAAGAGAGAAGGAATGGCCTCATAACAAATGTAAATATCTACTACAAAGCTTCACAATGCAATCAACAAACTAGCACAAAGAGAGAAATTCATAAAAATGTAGAAAGTTATTGAAAACAAAAAATAATTTTCACGCCGGCAATACCATACTACAGCTTAATGGGCACATTTGGTGGAATGCGAGACTGACTATTGTTCTTCTCTCACACCTCTCCCAGCTTTGCCTACACACACACACACCACACATATACACGAACGGAATAAACATGCAGTTGACTCCAAAAGCAACATCAGAATTGATTAGAAACGCTACAATCTAACAAGTTATTCCAAATTCACTATCATGAGCATGCAAAAAGTTGTTTTTCATCTAATTTGTAACAAGGTTATCTTCATGCTTGCAGAAGAAAACCTTGGACAAAAAAAAATGCTTAACGTTCTGTCAATGAAATGGCGAGAGGAACATGAACAACCGTTCTCGTGGCGCGTTCAATTCAAAATGAAAATGACGATTCGAAAGATGAATCAATTAGAATATACAGAAAATGGTCCGTTAAGCATTCTGAACTTTCAAATCGAATTCAACAACAATGTATATTAATATAGATAAAAAAATTTTTTTGGTCTCTGATACGAATGTTGCTGTATTGCTGCGCGCCAAAATATGTAATGAATCGATTCATTAATAAGTATTAGTATTAAAAGTAATTCCATAGAAGTTTCGGCATGTCTCACCGGAAGTTTCGGTCTATCTACTTCGTCGTTCATCAACTTCAATGTTTCGTTTATTTACGTTAAATTCATTTACTCATAGCTACTCATGGGTTTCAACCGAGAACCATCCTCATATGAAAGTTAAAAGCAGTTCTATCAATAGCATGATGTACGTGCAGTTTCTTAAATCGCATCGCTGCCCCAATGCCAATCAATTCCGCAGTTGTCCAAGCGTCCTGCTGCCGTATAGACGCTTGTTCATGTTCTTTACTGACTCATTTCTAAAATGTTTTTTCTTACTTATTATTTATCTTCAGAAGAGATTAAGCATGACTCGTAAATTCTTCGTCGGAGGTAACTGGAAGATGAATGGTAGCAAAGCTGCCATTGACAAGATCGTTGGTTTCCTCAACGAGGCTGGAAGTTTGTTTATATTAGTTTCGAAAATATTGACCTCTTCGTTTTAAGACAACGACGATGTTGATGTCATTGTTTCTCCACCAGCTCCTTATCTTGATTATGCCAAGAGCAAATTGACCACTGATGTTAAAGTTGCTGCTCAAAACACATACAAGGTTTCTTATTGAAAGTCAACTTCTTTACGATGTTTTAAAGGTCCCAAGCGGCGCTTTCACCGGAGAAGTCTCTCCTGCTATGCTCAAAGATCTCGGATTAGAATGGGTTATTCTGGGACACTCTGAACGTCGTCATGTTTTCGGAGAGCAAGATCTCGTAATAACATATTTTATTGAATGTTTTATTCGATTCTGTTTCAGTTGATTGCCGAAAAGACCGTTCATGCTATCGAAGCCGGTTTGAGTGTTATCTTCTGTATCGGTGAACGCGACGAAGAGCGTGAAGCTGGACAAACCAAGGAGGTATGATGGAAATTTATTATTAGTTACGAATGTTTTTTAAAGGTCAACTTCCGTCAATTGCAAGCCATTGTTGATAAGAATGTTGACTGGAGTAAGATCGTCATTGCTTATGAACCAGTTTGGGCCATTGGAACAGGCAAGTCCGCCACTCCTGAACAAGCTCAAGAGGTTCACACCTTTGTCATTGATCATTAATATGACTAATTGATTTTTCAGGTTCATGCTTGGATTCGTGAGTTTTTGAAGGATAAGGTTTCTGCACAAGTTTCTGATGCCACTAGAATCATCTATGGAGGTCAGTGTCGCTTGAAATGTATGACAAATTTAATCCTTCATCTTCTTTAGGTTCGGTCACTGCTGATAACTGTGCTGAACTAGCTAAGAAGAATGACATTGACGGTTTCCTTGTTGGAGGAGCTTCTCTCAAACCAGACTTTGTCAAGATCATCAACGCTCGCAAATAATTTATTCTTGAACATCCTTGCCGTCCTAGGTGACACTGGTGTCTCTCAAATTGAAGAGATTATAGATTTATAGAAAGCTTGTAGTCAAATGTTTTATACTTTCATATTGGGAAATAAAGAATAGTGTTTTTGAAATATAATCGGAGAAAAGTAATCTTCTATAACTATCTCGGTGAGCAATCAGTTGTGCATAACATACATTCGCGGAATATTCAGCTATAATGAGTTCACAGTACTGTCATGAACCGCCTACATATGGCAAGGTGAAAATCAAACTATGAAGCAAGAAGGTTGTAACTTGAGCATTTAAGGTGATTCTCCTAACCACAGTAGGAGATATCGAAATCCAATTGTGGTCCAAAGAGGAAAGAAGCTCTATTGGCTTGCCGAAACTTCGTGCAGCTATGTATGAAAGGCTGTTATAATGAAATAATTTTTCATCGTGCAT